CCATTTTGTCATACTTCTCACCCGCATCCCACTAGCAGCTAGATGCGTTGCTTTGCAGGACTCAGTTTTCAAGGACTCCAATTCTGATCTGAAGCTAGTGACGAAGCCATGAGTGGCATGTGGACTCTGAAGGATTCCCTCATGGATCGCTTTTCTTCGTGCTGCCCAAATAGCCCATGGAATAACAACTAACTTGATCATGCTAGCATGTGTTAAGTTGTCAATAGTTGACAATAGCCAAAACTTGCATTTGCCTCAGTCGACACTTGAATATAGTCAGCCACATCATCATCAACCAGAGCCCAAACGCAGCGGGCAATAGAGCACTCCAAGAGTGAATGGCGCCAACTATCCTGTATCCCGCAAAGCTGGCATTTGTCATCGTCGGCCATATTCCTTACATGCCGAACATCTTCAGTTGGGATGGTGTGCCTAGCTAGTCGCCACAAAAAATTACGAATCTTTCCTAGGACTGGACTGGCAGAGAGAGGTCCAAGATTTAGCTTCATAATCAGAATAACCTGCATAGAAGTGATCGATCGACCTCTCCTTCTCCGAGAGATTGGTCGAACAACAAGTTTTCATATTATCTATCCGACGCTACTGGCTACATACATATACAATATGTAAGATCTCTTACAATCCCCTAGCATTTGAAATCAACTTCCACATGGTATTCTCCGGATTTATTGATGACGTGGTCAAGAAAGAATCCCGCCAATTCCTCTTGAATTTCTTTCATGCGATCTTGTGGTAGGAGTTCATTCCGCATCTGCCACGTCTAATTTGAAGAAGGGGGTTAATACATACATATATATATATATATATATATATATATATATATATATATATGAATGAAACTCAACAGAAATGATGGTGTAATAAAATGAAATTGTGAATATTATTGCTTACGCACTTCATATTGTCTTTTAGAGTAGCCCCGCTTATTTTTCAAAGTCGTGTTGTAGATGAACTCGCACACGCAGTATCCACAGTAATCATTCCCGTGTTCCTGCCACAAGCACTTTACAAGAAATAGAGGTCAATCAAACTGATAATGAAGCATTATAAATGACATTGATGAAAGTATAGCTATAGAATCAACGTGCGCACAACTAGCTAGCTAGTAGTACTTACTATCGGGTATGTATATCGCAGCTCCTTCGGCAGTCCCGGAGCTTCTACGAGGAACTGTTTCCAAACCCTGCAACACAAATAAAATAATTATTATTACTTGAGATATCAGAAAATGAACAAAAAGTTGCCGATATGGTGCGATAATGATCGATTGAACTTACTTGTTGAGCATTTTAGTCATGTCCGCATAGGTTTCGGGATCTTTTCGTCTCGAGTCTAAGACGGTTACTAGTCCCCGCTCAAGCTTAATCTTCAGAAGAACATAGTGGAAGCTGCGCACGCATGCATAACTCATCAATTACATTACTATAACCTCGCTCGAGTAATAAGGGAAACCAAATATGCACACGACAGTAACACTCACTCGAAGTTGTAAGGAAAGAGTATTAAATCTTTGTTTTGATTTTTGATCAACGATTGTAGCAAGTTGGCCTCGGCCTCTTCGGTGTTCTTTGTAACCAAAAATTCATCTATGATATTTATGTTAATGAACCCAATATCATATATTTCTTGTTTTCTGCACTCGACGATCTTCAATCTGCATAATATAGTGAGGATAATTAATTATAAACACATGCAATGAAAGAGCTGAGCTATATATAGAGACTTAATGACAAAAATAGTACTTACAGACAGTAGCAAAAGACCGTTAATTTAACTCGAAGATCTCCTCAAATGGAACAGGCAACAGATCAGTTTCAACGAGGTCGTGCTCCTCTTTAATTCTCAGATACAAAGTATTCGTCCCCCCAGACTCTCTGCAGGTTTTCATGTACCAATTATGGAATCTTCACATCATCGTTGTTAGAGATTTTTCATCTTTGATGAGAGGCTTCCCGTACTCGTATCTGTGTTCGTCCACCTCCAAGACATCAAAATGTACATTGTCAGGCAGGTAATCTCTAAGATTGCTATAACCGGGCACCGTCCCCGAAGCATTAGCGACAATGTCGCTAGACACATTGAGCGGGGGGCACGATTGCTTTGCTTGTTCGCCGAGCTGGGCAATTTTTTTCCCAGCTACTCGTTCTTTTAACCTTTGATGTCTGACAGTACTTCCCGACCGCTCCGCTTCGAGATATGCCTTTTCAGTAATGCGCTCATAGTTGGTTTTCAGCGGAGACTTGGGTGGTTTACTCAGGGCATCGATAGTGCGCTTTGCTTTCACCGGATCTACCTTCTCCTCCGGAGGTGGATGTCTCTTTGCTTTCAACCCTTCAAAGAAGTCCTTCACTTTGGTCCGCACGATCTTCGCGTTTTCCTCCTCGGTCCTCTCGTACGGTAACTTCTCGAGAGGCTTGAGAGGTGGACCATATCTGTATTGCCTCCCGCCTCTGGCTGTACTGCTAGACACTGGAGCAGACGGAGCGGCTGCGGCTGTCTTCTTTCGTGCTTGCTTAGGAGGCGGAGGAGAAGGACTACGACGCGCCGGAGCAGCCGAGGCGGCGGCGGGTCTCTTCCGCCCTTGCTGGCGAGGCGGAGAAGGAGGAGGCTGCTGGCTGCTCGGGCGCACCGGCGCAGGCGGAGAAGGAGGCGGAGTGCCGCCACGCGCCGGAGAAGGAGGCTGAGTGTCCTGATCGTCACTCGCCGGAGGAGGAGGTGGTGGAGGAGGCGGAGTGCCCTGACTCGCCGGAGGAGGAGGAGGAGGCGGAGGCGTCCAGTTCGGAAGGTTGATGAACTCCTTCCGCCATAGGCATGGAGTCTTCAGAGCAGAACCGAGCCGGGTCTCCCCTTCACCGGTAGGGTGGTCAAGTTGGAGGTCCTCAAATCCTCCGTTATTTCGTCCACCGTCACCCTAGCATATCCTTCTAGAATTGGACGACAGTGAAAAGTTGCGCCGAGTTCAGAAGGCCGAACAGAGCCGACAGCCGCCTTGACTTTTAAGTTCTGCCATTGCGTCATAAGGTGGCATTTTTGAGACTCCGTGATAGCATCCACGGGGTAGCTAGCAGGAGCCGTCAAGACATGCTCCGGCTGAAGCAGCTCGGTGGAAGCCACGCTGCTTCTCCGCTGAGATGGCGAGGTAGCTTCGGGGGAAGCTCCGACAGTTCGTTTGCTATGATTTGCTTCTCGTTCCTCTATCGCTTGTACCCTTGCGTGCAACGCCTGCAGTTTGGTCTGCTGCACTTTCTTCCT